TCTTTATTTGGCAACGATCCGGCTAACTTTCGAGTATCTTGCTCGCACGGTTTGTTCGTTTATTCGTTTCTTCGAACGACCGTTCAGACTGTATTTACATTCGTTTCATGTTGACTATTAATTTAGCGAGACGCGCGTGAACGTGCACCGTGAAAATGGTCGTGTATGTACAAAAGAGATTTATATACGCAATCCGCGTGATTATTCCACGCATTATGCTATGATCACAGAGGAAACCAGAGCAGTTCTTAACATGCGAGTTAATAATTAATTAAAGTCGATGATTATGCTTCACCTTGGCGAACGGTGAGATTTATTCGATATTTTCAGCGTCATTGTGGTCTCGTGTGTTCATCGGGTTGCTTCGGGTTCAATTGCAAATTTCAGTACAGCGTGATGGATCATTTCGTTATTCAGCTGAAAAGCTCCGAGTTTAAACGAATAAAAATATTCCTCATCGTTCATCGAGGATAAATGAAATAAAAGTAATATTTCAGTTACCAAGCCGCAATGATACGTAGAGATTTATTTTTAAAACGTTATATTTCCAACAATGCCGTGTACCAATGTAACGAACAATAAATCATGATTTGAATCATTTTGAAAATAATTTTCATCCTCGTGGCTTAATGGAGTACCGTCGAGTCTTTTATATATATCAGATCTCACGAATTTCAAGCTGCGGAATTTTCACGTTTACAGCATATTCCGATAAATTTGTATACTATACTTCATTGAACACAATTAAACGCGAAGAATAAATTTCTACTCGATCTCTTTGTTACAGATCGCCTCGGAACAGCTCGGACTCGTATGAACGCCCGCAGACGAACGAGTTCCGGAAGTACGAGGACTCGCATCGCGATGTCGTCTTAAACGCAACACTCCATCAAACTTGGTAACGTCTCCTATAATACTCATGACACACGATAACACAATTTCCAGGGGTGTGCGAACCATCAGACCGAACCTGTTTTCTCTCGAAATTGGCTAGTGTTTTACAGAAACATTCGCATGTTTCCTCGATTCCTCTTATAATATACTTCTATTGCTTCGTACAATGAATAACAGCTTCACAAAAGATTCGTTACAGCTTAACCCACGGAACATTAACGACCATCGGAAATCAAACAACGCTCGTCGAAGAACAGAAAACACATTACAAACGTATAAAATTATTAAAGTTATTATCACCCCTTATCCTTCCCTCCGACTCGTGCCCAGTGATTCGCAGACCCTCGACACTTCCGGCAAAAGCTTAAACAACGCGAGCGTACATTGGAATAAACGAAACGCGTTCGCGTTCCTCGCGTACGTCGCCTCGCCTCGATGTGCAGTCAGTCGTATTTACAAAAATCTCGATAAGAATTGATTCACGTTTAAACAACTACGGGCTTCTTCGATATCGGCTTCAGATTCGCGGTCAAAATGGCGGACTCGGGGGAGGGTTGCTGCTATAAGGAGACGTCTGCCTGGTTCACCGGCCCGTTGCCTATCCTCGCGTTGTTGTTCAATTGTTTCGTTGTGCTCGTGTTCTCCTTGGTCGTCGTCGGAGGATTCTCCTTTGGATCCTTGTTGCTCAACGCGCCGCTCTGCTCCTTCTCGTTGCCGGAAGTCTGCGTCGATCTCGAGACCACCGTGGGCGCCGGTTTCCCGTTCTTCTGATCTTTCACCTCGAGCTCGTAATCTACGGGGGAAAAGTCTTGCTTAATCGACAAATAATGACACGTCCCCCACGGCCGCGGTGGCTTTGATTATTATTTAAAAAAAGTCTCTTTAGAGACATCCGAGGGGCAGTTTAGCGCAGATGTTCCGACGATCTTGTCGCGCGTCAGGCGCGCCGGAATCGTCCCTTGCTCGTTCCCCCGCGGAACGTTTAATTAAAAACTTCGGCTACGAGGCTGGCTAAAACAGAATGGCTGCCAGCGAACTGAATACAAAAACACGCGAGGCAACATGGAGCCGAAAGGTGAACGCGGTTTCCTTCGCGTTGCTCGTTAGTCGAATTAGAAAGCGCTGTTAACGAATATTGTTGAAACGCGAGTGAAAATGCGAATGTCTTTTTTTCGACAGCGTTTCGGGGAAACGTTGCTAACGGTTTTTGCTTGGGATTTTTTGTTGGTTCTTTGCTATTTTGGGATTTGGGCGTTGTCACCTAAGTTGCCTTGTTTACCGTTCCGTGCGTTGTTGATGTTATTTCGATTTTATCGTGTCAGCGTTTAACAGCTACATTGTCACTCGAAAGATCGATATCTATTATTTTAACAATTTTTAAGTTTCATCGAGTGATGCAATTCTTACGAATGTTCACTGAAAATTTCATTCAGTATTAACGTCGACGGATTCTCATCGCTTAAGGATTGTCGGTACTGAACTATCAACCCTTTGCACTCGAGAATATTTTTCTCAACAAATATTCATTATTTTCTGGTAAGATATCAATAATACTTTTACAACTGACATCGACACATGGAACATCGAAATAAAATAGTTTTGTCACTTAATTTATGCAAGGTATTTCTTTGTGTCGACACACTATATAAAGTTTAATATCGAATCTGAAATTTTATCATTTTCTTGGGTCGAATCCAGCGGCGACTGAAAGGCGCCTCTCGAGTGCAAAGGGTTAAAATTTTCAACCGTTCCTAAAATATTGCAAAGGGAACTCGAGAATAATTGACGGCCACTTACACTCGCTCTGCGTCGAGCAATCGATGGTGCTGATAATGTGCTTCTTGACAGCCTTGTTTTGATCGCACGTGGCCGCTGTCAGTGTGATCGGCGCTATCATGCTCGAGGCATTTGTCGCCGTCACCGCGGAGCTTTTGGTCGTGCTGTATCTCGTCGGCATCATGCTCTGACGAACGTTCCTCTCCGGCCGGATCAGAATGATGTACAACTGTCGTGCGAAAAAATACGGGGATCGTTTCACTGAGGAAGCTCAACCCCCCACGGCCGCTAAATTGAATTCCGGTGAGTTACCTTCGGACTGAAGAGACACGCTATAGTCACGGACGCGGAGAGACTGATAGTCACCGACATCGAAGTGATTCTCAGCGCTACATTGTTCCCCGTGCCGAAGTACAGGGGCACGAACGCCAGCCATATCACGCACGTGGTGTACATTGTGAAACCTGAGCGAAAGACGATGGAATTTTCAAGACGATGGAATCTCCAGGACGACTATTCGCGAAACGAAGTTTTTTTGTGGAAAATATATCGAGAGATGAAGAAGGGGTGGAACGTGGATGAGTTTAGAGAATGCTGGAAAATAGGGAAAATGGAGTGACTGGGAAAAAGTGAAGGTTGAAAGGGATTTCTACGTTTGATGATCGTTTGAAGGACTTTAGGTATATTAGTTCTTTAGTCGAGGGACAGTGAAATATCTCTGTTGCTTTCGGTGGAAAGAGAACATTGTTATTTTGATGAGGTCTTCTATAACTCTGGACAGAGGAGATCTCTTTCTGCTTAACTCGTCGCGAATTAGTCTTTGAGTATTGGATATCTGCGTAGGATCTCTTCAACAATGAGTATCAAGTTTAAAGGGGAGAGCAGAAGGAGAGTGATCCTCGGTAGACATCAAAGTTCGAAGTAATTTAATATACTCAGTACGATTCTATGAGACGAGGAACTTAAAGGAGACTGTAGAAGAAAGAGAATACAATTAGAATGCAAGGATACAGAAGAAGATAAAGAATAGCTGGTGACTCTCAGTCACCACATCCTTTGATATAAATTGTTGTAATATTAACCGTTTGAGCTATCTCGTTTCGTTTCAGTTCAGAAACTGAATTACGCTTTTGTATTTTCGTATAAAAATTGTAAGTTGCGAGATCGTTCCGTTTTTCTGTTTCTAAGTAGGTTATAACAAAAATGAAAATAAGTGATTAGGAGAGTAAATAAACTTCATTTGATTTTGGGAACCGATGGCACCTTTGCCACTCAAACGGTTAAATTTTTCTGGATGAAGTATCTTAACACATTGAATGCCGTGGAATTTTATAAAATACGCAACGTGGAAAGAATGTAATATTAAATCGTTTGATTGGGTTGCATTGTTATTACTGGTAGCATTACTTATAATATAGAAATGTTTTCGAATAATCATGGTTTAACACTAGAACTACCGACCAGTAAAATTGATTGGTCTCTATTACCTTAAAGAAATTATAAAAATAGATTAATCGAGTTTTCAATCCTCTTATATTCTAGTTTGTATTTATCTAAACCAATTTATTGAATAATTCTTGAGAAAATCATCTGTGCCTTTTCTATAATTGCAAAAAAGTGGGGAAGATCTGGTAATTCTATTGTTAACACTAGATTTATTCACATTTACTGTACAGTTTCTTCTATTGTTCTTAGAAAAATAGTTATCCGTTCATTTAGATCTTAGAAATTAAAGGTTTAAGAGTAGACAATTATGATACATATTTGCATAACTGCGTTAATAAGCATCGACCCAAACATTTACCAAATTCTTATAAAATTCAACATAAGTCAAACTGACTCGTTGCATAAATCCAGCGTTAATTGAGTGAACTATAATTCGATTCGAAAATACACAAAATGGAAAAAATACAATATTAAATCAATTGGATTATCATTACATGTTCATCGAACTGAATATCACTGCAACGGATAGCATTATTTATATAGAAATGTTTGCGAATAATCACCGCTTAATCGAGTGAATTACAGTAATTCGACTTGATTGGGAGCGACCGGTGACCATGGCATTCAATATGTTAAACAATAAATGTATCGAATGAAAGACATTTCGATTGCATAGCGATAAACGCCGTCGACATACTGACCGATATGTTTGCTCTCGTTGAAAGCCTCCGGTATTTTCCTGGTGAGCACCGCGTAGACGGTGCACACCACGATCAGCATGATGGGATAAGCAAACGCGATCATGTAGCTGGCGTCCACGTAACTGTTGCAGACGAGCAGGTTGTCCTCCCTGGTCGGATAGAGATGCATCGCCCTCGCCGGGTCGATTATCATCCAAACTCCATTAATTAAGATCTGCACGAAGACCAGGCCGGAGCAGATGATCAGCTGCGATCGCGGCGATATGAACGATGGCCTCTTGGCGCTGTGTTTGCTCGCGTTAAAGATCCTCGATATTCGATTTGTCTTCGTTAAGAGGGCCGCGTAGACGACGGTGAAACAGAAACCGGCGGCGAATCTGTCGAATCACGTGATAAGTGGCCTGGGGGACACGAAGGTCCGCGGAACAGGGGGAGCAACCGAGGACTTCCGTGAGATATGAAGATTTATCGAAAACACTGGGGGAAGTAAATGTAACTCCATATGCCCACTGAATCCTACTTCTCAATTTTTATTGCGCGATGCGGACGAATCTTGATTGTGACGTATCGCGGGGAGCAGCCTAAGGTGGGAGACTTGAAAAAATTGCTTCGGCCCCGGCGAACAAGCAGATTTATGATTTAATTTGAAACGTCACCTACTTTCCCTTTGCTTTCACCTTTTAGATAGCGAACGGTTCCTTTGGAACGTGGCAGAGGGGTTTCAATATTCTGTAAGCGACAGGATCAGCTTTTCCTTAGTTCCTTTGGAGTTTACCGAGAATCAAGGTTTGATCTATCTTTTAATCCGGAGCTTTCAAATTACAAAAATAATTACTTGGAAGATAATCGATCTCGAGTACAAGTTTTCCGTAACGTAACTAGATAATAGAGTAATATAAGAATGTCCATATCAAAGAATTAATAATTCTTGCTTAGCATCTGCTATAGAAAGGATAAGCGATAAAATTGATATTCTTCGTGGCAGTCAACGTGTCAACATTTAGCGTTTTCAAATCTCAACTGGGTTTCTTAGCAATTCGGGTAGCAAGCACCTGCGAACTCTATTCTCTTAACAAACGTTCCGTCCCCGTTTCGATCGTAGATTCCTCCGTTTCGAGATTAACGAATGTACCTCTCGATATCGATAAATCGGAGAAAAGGTATCCGATTCGGAATATGTTAGCGACGATTCTTATCTCGGCTGTGTCTCGAACGGCGTCTCGAAACGCTCGGAACGGAAGGCGGGGCCGTTTAAGAGACCGTAGAGAGGCAGGTGCAACTTCACTTCTAATGGATTCCGTGCCCCACTTTATATTCTTCTTCTGATTCCCCGTAATTGAATCCCCCGTAATTCACTTCCCGATGAAATTTCGCCTCTCGACTTTATCAGCTTTACCTCGATCGATCATGTATTGCATTCCGAGTTAATATACCCGCCGCCGGAGCGTCTCGTTCCGCGGAGAATTGGATTTTTCAAACTATCCCGGGCTCCGTCGCGCTGACTCCACGCCGGGAGGAAAATGGCGGCGGCGCGTCGCGCGGCGTAAACTTTCTTACCTCTGGACGCCGCAAACGATGTCCGTCGGCTTCAGCACCAGCGCGAACGTAACGAGATAACAGAGCAGAATCCCGGAGAGCAGAACGTAGGACAGCTCGCGACCGGAAGCGCGGACCACCGGTGTGTCGTTGTGTTTCAGGAACACGCCGCAGACGAAGAACGTTATCTGGTGGTGTTGCCAACAGAATTTTTTATTACTTCACGCTTCGCTTACTTCAAATGTCGTCGTTTTCTCTTCTGTTGGTTTCGCTGTTGGATTTACTAGGTAAATACCGATCATTAGAGGATATCGGTTTATTCAATAATACTGTGAAGCAATGTAATCGTTAGAAGGCTTCTCATGTTTGTTGAAGAGGACTGAACACTGGTCTACTTTCCTTCGAATAAGATTTACTAAAAATTCATACGTCATATCGAGATCTTTGTACTTTCTGCCGGGCGTTAGGGGATTATGCAGATAGAATCGTAAAGCTCCGCGCCACAGTCGTTAAACCGCAGCTGGTCAGTAAATGATTCTCGAGAGGACGAGTCCTAATGCAGTTCCCTTTTAGGATCTTACATTATTCTACTCTGCGTTTTCTTCTGGTAATGTATAATATTAATTCGTGTATAATGACAGGAATATTAACACATTGTGTATCGGATAATTTTCAGGAAACTGAATTGTGCGGATGGCACGCCAAGATTTCTGATTACTTTGTCCAACACTAGAACTACCATACCAATCGAAATAACTAGTTTGAATTTGTTTGTTTCGCAATAGATAATATCTTAGCATTGATTATTCCAAATGAAAAATGGAAATAATCTATTGTTACAATTCTCATAGAAATCACGTATTAACTTTAAATGCTCGGTAGTTCTAGTATTAACCTTTTGCACTCGAGCGGCGCCTTTCAATCGTCATTTGATTTGACCGAACAAAATCATCAAATTTAGAATTCACCATCAAATTTTATATAATGTATCGACACATGGAACATCGAAATAAACTAGTTCTGTCAATTTATACAAGGTATTTCTTTATGCTAGTTGTAAAACATATCATTGATGTTTCAGAGAATAATGAATATTTGCTGAGAAAAATATTCTCGAGTGCAAAGGGTTAACATGTTGGCACGTGTAAATATATTCTAAAACGTAGTATCACTATAGAACTATTATTTCGATCATCCACCTGTACAATGACGAGTGAGACTCGCGATGAAGATTTCTAAACTAACTTAACAAGAGTCAATGTTGTTCATTACCCACGGATCAAAGCAAGCAACTATTTTGCTATTATCAATGTTGTTAGGTACTCGTGGTTACCGTAATGGTGGTCGAGCTTTGTAGGCGTTTGCACGTGGTGTGCCGACTAATAAACTTGTATGTCTCGAAGGACCACCCGATTAGATCGGGAACAAAACTTAGAAATGAGTAGGAGGTGAAGTGGACTTTGACTCTAGTGCTATGCGCTTGATCGAAATTGTTACTTGATACTTTGTAATCCTTACTTCCTACTCCGTACTCTGTGCTATGTACTATGTGAGTTGACACTTGTCTAACTATGTGTATCCAACTTGTGTTTCTAACTATGTGTATCCAACTGTATGTATTTAACAGTGTGTATCAAACTCTGTGTATCAACTGACTGGGCCTCCCAGAATCGTCCTCGACGACACCTCCGCAATGTCGTCTTCGCGAGGGTGAAGACGTTCTGGTTGGCCCTTTTAGATCTAGATGGTTGTGGAAGGGAGACACAGTCCCCTCCCTTCTTGGGTCTTCCAAGTTGCTAATGTTAATAACTAATTCGTCCCGTTTGCAATCGTCGACCGTGGCAGGTAAAAGGCAAGAAACGCTTTGGCCTTAATAACGCATGCTAACAGACGGGCTACAGAGTTAAAAATGCTGGTGACTGGACGCCAGATGTGAACAATAGACAAGGAGAATCTACAGCAAGAATCGCGGGCCTTATGGGTTCAGGGATTTACGGCTGCCACGGTCCCTTCTCGTAACACCGTAAGGACGATTGCAAGTTGCGAGCGGGACGAAGGCTCTTACTGTTACGAAAAACTATCAAATGTACAATAAGTCTTAGAAAAGATAAAAAGTGCATACAAAACTAAAACTACGATGGTTTAAGGGCTCGAACGAAACGGTAAGGCTATAAGTGGCCTTAACAAATGTGTTATATTCAAATGAAATTTCCACCTGAAGTAGAATGGAAAATTCTCTTGTATTCCTTACGAATTGTCGATAGTGAAATATTGCACGAGCTTAGTAATGAAAGTAAACAGTACGCCAAGGGGTTAAGGGAAAATGGGGGTTCCAATGTAATCGCGTTTAGTTCAGTCGTGCGGGAGCACTCACCAGGATCCCAGTCGCGGAGAAGGACATGGCGCCGATCGCCCAGCCGCTTTCGTGTCTGAGGAACTCCTCGGGGATGTCCCGGCAAGAGGAATGCGTCTCGTCCGGCACGGTGCCTTGCCTGCACGGGATACACTGCGTCTCGTCCTTCGGATGTCGGATCTGTTTAACGGACAATCAAATTTCACCCCGCGAACCTTCGACCCCTGGATACACACACCGCCGCTACTTTAACTCGTTCATCGCGAGCGAACCGTTCAGAGAGGAAATTTGTTTCGGAAATCCGCTGTCACGGATCAAAGCCACTTCTCTCCGTTGTTACCTTCGACGAGACGTTCTTCCGAGGAACAAAAGCCACGAGGGGTTGCGCTCGGCCAGAGAAGATGAGAAAGGAAGACAAAGGAAGTAGGGGAAGCCTCTTCGATCTATGGATAGTCGGAAGATGAAACGGGAGTTGCTTTGGGATCATCTCGCTTCCTGCGAATCGGTTCTCTTGAAAGATGTTTGAGTTGGAAGGACGTTCGATAGGCTACTCAGATTTCTGACGGTTAATGAAGTGACTTTCTTCCGGGCTGTCCTGTTTTTTCGTTTGACGTATGCTGGTTGAAATATTCCATGTAGAGGAATTTCGGATGAATATACTCGGACCGTTTTAATGATGACAAATAACTGAATAAACAGAACTAGGTCAGTCGTATCCAGCTCCTTTAGCGAATCTCTTCTCAACTAATTAGAATGCCTCTTTTACCTAATCCGTTTCGAAAGTTTTTGCTACGAAAGGTTCTCAACAGCTTTAACGAAGACAATCACCATCTTTCTTCGACACTATGAACGAAAGCGTGAAGTTATACGAATATTCGTAGTTTCAATGTTACGTCGATTTCCTTGGAAGTGTAACTTTCTCGTCGATGTTTTCCACGAGAGATATTTGTATAAGCGTCCCGTTTTCGATGACTCGTATCGTCTTCCGCACACTCGATTCGCCATAATCGAGCGATTCCCTTTCTTTCTTCCCTTTCCCCGAGGGCGTTCCAATGATTTTTCACGTGGCCATTATTGGTTCGTGAGGAATATTTCGGGAATAGGCGGGAGGAGGCTAACCGGAGCGATCACGAACCTGATATTGAGTACAATTGAAGCAGTGCCAGCAGCATCTCTCGCCCTCCACGTATTTCTTTGCTTGGCCGACCTCGCAGGGTAGAGAACACACGCTTTCCGGCGGCTGAGGGTGTCCAAGTTTAAATTGGATTTCTGCAAGGAATATTCAAGTAGCTAGCAAACAGAGACTACGAATTCGATTTCGAGTGAAACCCGGGGAAGGAGGACAGGAGAAAAAAAGGATCGGAGGACGTCTGCAGCTGGACTCACCGGACATGTTCAAGCGCAGCTCGCCCTCGAGGTATTTCCCCACTCGGACCCATTTGTATTTGCCCGGTTCGGTCTGCTTGAAATGGATGATGTTGTATCTGGCCGGTCCGTCGCCATTTTTGTCGAATTTGAACTTGTCGCCGCTTAGACCTTTAAGTAGAATTCGAAGGTAGAGATAGGAAGGATTGAGGGGAACCGAATGGTCTTCGGTTCGTGATAATGGTTTGGGATCTTTCCTTGCGGTCATTTGATTTGATTAGTTTTGAAGTTGGGGTGGTAGATTGATAGATTGATGGATTCATAGATTCATAGATTCAAAGATTCGTAGATTCAAAGATTCATAGATTCATGGATTGATAGATTGCTAGATTGCTAGATTGCTAGATTGCTAGATTTCTAGATTGCTAGATTGCTAGATTTCTAAATTGATAGATTGATAGATTGATAGATTGATAAATTGATAGATTGATAGATTGATAGATTGATAGATTGATAGATTGATAGATTGATAGATTGATAGATTGATAAATTGATAAATTGATAAATTGATAGATTGATAGATTGATAGATTGATAGATTGATAGATTGATAGATTGATAGATTGATAGATTGATAGATTGATAGATTGCCAGATTACTAGTTTGCTAGATTGCTAGATTGCTAGATTGATAAATTGATAGATTGATACATTGCTAGATTGCCAGATTGCTAAATTACTAGATTGCTAGATTGATAGATCAACAGATTCTACATAGCTTCACCTTCGAAATCTACTTTATGAAGATACTGCAGCAGCTCCGTCCCTTGAGTAGGCCTCATAGCCTCGCACAGTCCTGGCTTCCCCTGGCAAAGGTCTCTGTGCATGTCCCTGAAGTTTGAAAGAAAGATCAATGCATTCGTTACGCTGAAATAAAGCTAAGCTTCCGGGAAGTTAAATGTGTCGCAGAATCTTATACAATAGTTATAGAATTGAGATCTTAGTTTGTTACTGGAAAGCATAGGCGAACGCCATCACTGCATCCGAAACGAACTGCAGCTGGTCCTCGAACGCAGTGTTCTGTTTCGTCAGACGTTCCTTCGTCGTGCACGGTTTCGTGTATTTCTTGTTGTACGGTGTCTTCGATGCGTTCGGATAGCGACATTGGAAGTGGTCTTCCCAGAATTCTGAAATCATTCACGGCCAATCACATTCTCACCCTCAATCCATAGCTTCGTTGAAGACTCTCTTAACACTAGGTTCACGGAACGCGTCAATTTCACGCAGATTGTATTTTATAAACATTATTTGGTAAACGCTTCAATCGGTTTTCGTTGATCCAATTACACGAACATGAATCCTGATTGTCTATTTCTACAATTTCCAAAATCTAAATGAACGAATATCAACTTCCCCAGGAACAACAGAATAAACTGTACAATTAATTCCCCGTAAACCTAGCGTTAAACACCTAATACTACGAACTACGTGTTGCAAAATGAATCGAATTCTTGGCAACGGTTGTATCACGGCGGCCGCAGCGAGTGTAGCACGTTTGTAAAGTGATATTTAGCCCGTGGAAATTTAGACGAAACCGGTGTTAAGTTCAGCGACATGTAGACCTTTTGACGTGCGACCGCGGCCGCCGAAGTTCGAGGCTATCTAAAGTTTAATGAAGCTCGCGTGTTTCAGTCATTCGCTCACCGACAAACCACGGATTCCTTCGGTTGTTCTCGACGGTCAGATTCAGGAAGTACTCCTCGAAACCCCTGACAGGATTGGCCTGGGGTTGAACCGATAGGGTACCTTCGACTTCCGGCTCGTTACCATTACTAACTAAACCCCTGGCGCTCCACCCGTCGCTGCCGATCCACGAGAACGCGCCGGTCGCGTTGCAACGTCTAACCGCTCTCATAACTCCGGCAACTTCTTGATCCGAGCCGAATATGATGCAGCCTGTGCGACATAAGATTGACAGAATGAGTGGACTGCCGGAGTTCAGGCAAATACGATTCTTCACCAGAATTTCCTGCTTCTGTTTCGTGGTTTCTGGAAGGAAACGTTTGTCTTCGAAAGATTTCACGAAGAAAAAGGATTCTAGATAAAATGTTGAAAATGTATTATTTTTAGCAGAATGTTCGGAAACTGTTGTTCATTACTGTTAATGTTCGAAACTTCGTTTAGACTTTTGAAGCTGATTCTCTATGAGAAATAGATAACTTCTACAGCCAATAATCGTTTGAAAGGTTTCAATTAATTTTGTTTCACAGGAGTTTTATGACTATAATTTGGAATGCATTGAATTTTAGATAATTGGGTATACAGTCTCTTAGAATTTGTGAGTGCATAGATTTCTCTCATAATTTCGATTCGTTCCTTAACCTGTCTCGCTGTGACAACTGCTAGCTCTTGTAGTTAGCTGTCCCCGGAGTGCGCTATAAATGCATAGAATCCGCAGTTCAGTAATGAGGCGCAGTCCCGCGGAGTTGCAGATTTTCAGACAATTCTACAAATTATATTATCATTGTGTTCAACTTGAAGCGAGCTGGACAGACGGTAAGAGATTTCCGACGTTCCCTGAACCGTAGAACTACTGACGTCAAACGGCGTAGCTCTTGTATCAAGCCAATTTTACCTGAATCGAATTCGTTGCCAATAAAAATGAAAAGGAAAATTCACCGGGAAGATTAATCGATAGTAGCCGACAAGAACTAATCGAATTCTACTTCTTAACACGTTCGCTACCAGCGTCACGAATTTCTGACAATCTATTTCACATAAAGCGAATGAAATTAATCTTATAGATAGTATTTCAAGTTATAAGCTACATTATATTTAGGAAATCGACAACTCGTCCCAGTGTCATTTGTTCGATATTTTGTTTAGAAGATTCAGTGGATTGGATAAAACATTATAATTCGCTAAACGCTGATAGCGAACGTATTAAGCTCACGCGAAGAGACAAGCTTAACACGTTCCGTGCCACGGAAATTTCGGTCGTATTTTGCTTATGAACTGTATTGATTTTTTAAATAAAACATTAAATTATATTCAAGTTTTTCAAAATTTTATATATATTAATATATTTTCATATCGTTTCTCGATGTTTTCAGTGCTTTGTAACGTATACAGCTATTCTTGACCATGCGTCCCTTAAAAATATTCCGTTACACAAATTAACGTGTACCACATGTGGTACACGTGGCACTGAGCGTGTTAAACTGCACTATTAATTACATCTTCCCTACACGCTCGCAGCGAAGCATATAAAACATAAAAGCCGGTAAACATCGACGTCAATTTCGAAAACGGCGGTGCTTATAGAATGACCTTTAGCTTCATCGCACACTGTACGCCGGCTCTTGATAAAGCTCCGCGTAATCTAGATTCCCGTAGGATTAACCCTTCGAAGTATAGCCGGCCGTTTTACGGCCGGCTTTCAATGAAGCTTTATCGCGTTCCAGATTGACGACGAAGGTCTGGAAATTCGGCCACGGCGGAAAGAACATTTTAATATTGTCCCAGCAGCGCGATTGCTCATCGAATGATTATTCCCCGCTGCTCGTCCCGTTCGTCCCATCGGCGAAACACGAAGCGGAATCGTCGAGAGCGGTCGGAACCGATGAAAGAGGGTTCGAGTAATGGGCGCCGAGTCTCAATGGCGAGAATCATCGAATCGTCGCGGACAGACGCAAATGGACCGGTTTAAATACGTCTGAAGTAACGCTGGATACCGTTGAATGGCGGATCTAGTCCTAAACGCGATTTCTCGGGGCTCCGATAATTAACGGTCGGAAAACGAATGAAAACGAACCGACAAGAGACGCGGCATGTAAGCTTCTCCGGTGTGTACTCGCGTTCAAAGATTATTAATATTTTTCCGTCTCATTTAACCCTTTGCGGACGAAGATTCTTTGAAATGAACCGAACCTTCAACGGATGAAGCTAAATTATATATCATAGTGGTTACTATTATTATTAGAGATTGAAAAGGTGGATCTTCAGTAAAAAGAGAATTAGGAAACAATATGGACAACACGTAAAAATACAACTTAACACCACGAAGGCCAACACACGACTCTCTATCACGCACAAAAATGTTCTCCGCTGTCTCTCACCAAAATGTCCCCATGCACGCAATTCCACTCGCTTTTAACACACACCCCCATTCGCTCTCTTTCTCACCCTTGCACCCTTCTCGCTCGTATCTTTCGTCCATAGTCAAAATTCACGTCGCGTACACGCTTTTCTCACGGTCCAGTCGCTCAGTTCCAGACACTCTTCCTCGTATTCTTTCAGCCGCTCGAGATTTTCTAAACGCAGTCGCATTATTTTCCAAACATCCCGGCGCCGGTGTCGCAATACGACCTGGTCGCCCTTACGCACGCACAACGAACCATTCATCCTACAATAAATATTCTAGATACTACAATATCAATCGTATAATCGATAGAACGAAAGGAAACTGCGTGCTGTTCTCTTGCTATTCGAGTAATTAAATCTCTTCTTACTTAGTCTTCGAGATGTGAACATTTCATCTCGTCAGAATGTCGGCATTCCTCCGCAAAGGGTTAATGGAGCATACCATGGAAAATAAGAGTATCTGCTCAATTAACAAGTTGGAGGCTTCGAATTGTTGTTTTCTGGCGAGCTGAAGCTTCGAAGTTTTTAGTCGTAAAGGTACTTCGATCTCAAACGTTGCCTTCGCAGTTCGTAACTTTTACAGTTCTCCGGGTTCCGCTGTTGAGTTTTAGTTCGCGATGTTCTTACAATGTTGATCTACGGAAGTGTATGAAAAAGTAGATTTTCTTTGGATTTTCGAAGGTTTTCCGCCTCCTCGAGTTTTTATTCTACGCCGATATCTTCCTCTTCTTTCCTTCCTTTTTCAGCGTAGACTTCCGTTTCTCGTGCTGTCCGGCGCGAATTAATGTCCGGCGATATTTCGGGGAGGACACCGCGTTCTGGTCGATTTTCGTGCGACAGACACTGTATAATCGACTGTGAAATATTTAATATCGGTTGAAATACGTCCCGGCAGGGGATTTGACGTACGCGGGACGCAAAAAGCTGAGCCTTCGCAGCGACTACGGGGACGTTTTATCCGAAACTTCGCAAGGATACAGTTCTCCGTTACCGTTATTAATTCGTAGGTTTTGCTGGCTGGTGCGGAGGTTTCATTTTTCAGACTACGTCGATTTTGTGATGCTATTTATACTGGCTGCTTTGGAACCGATCGCATTTCACGGTTACGGACCACTGATCACGTCGATCAAGTGAAATCCTGTATACGTGTGTTTACCGATATTTTTTCGTAGTTTAGGGAGACTGTACAAATCTGATCAGATATTTTCTGGGCAAGAACATAGGTCTTTTCATTACTTTTAGAAATAATATTTGAGAGTATTTAGCTTAAGCAGTCATATATTCGTCGATATGTCAATGACAGAAATTATATTTCAGAGTATTTATCTTAAATTGTCACATATTTGTAGATATATCAATGATAGAAATTATATTTGAGAGTATTTAGTTTAAATAGTCACATATTCGTCAATATATTAATGATAAAAATTATATTTGAGAGTACTCAGCTTAAACAGTCACATATTTGTAAATATATTAATGATAAAAATTATATTTGAGGGTACTCAGCTTAAACAGTCATATTCGTCGATATATTAATGATAGAAATTATGTTTGAGAATGCTCAGCTTAAACAATCACATATAAATACAATAAAAATTTAATCAAAATATTTCTTTCCCTAGATTAAGAGCATAGAGAAATCTTATTAGTATATCAATCTATTTATACTATTCAAAAATAATCCATCAAATTTGTATCCCATTGAACAGAAAGAGATACAAAAGTAAAACCGTATTAAGACAGAACTCCCATAAATCGGAATTGCTGGTAGCATAATTCAGCGTCTGATGAAATAAAATTTCGTCGAACAGTTTCGGAACATCCGTTACAATGAATACCTTCGTAAGGGCGGACGGTTATTACCGTTCACTGCCGGAAGAAGTTAAATGAAACAGGGGAAGACGGGACATTAGGAAGGAGCAGCAACGGACAGCGGCAGGGGCGCAGGAAACTATATAGTTTAAAAGTTGGAGGGTCCAACGATCCTTAAGGGTCCCTTGGCGAACGCCGGCTCCATGGAGCTGCTAAATCCTAACTGGCATCTTCCTTTCCTATTATTATAATTCCAACTTTGTATGCATGGACGTCGGGAACTTTATAGATTCTTTGCTACGTCCGAATCTTCCTCCCTTGAGGGGTGCGATGTACATAATCTTCAACCTCTCTAGTAAATATTTCGTTCCCATGAATCACTTATATAACAAACTTCTATTAAATTATTTTAAAAAGGAAGTACACTCAGCGACTTAATTCACTCTCATACTTATTAAGGACGGAATTAATAAAAGAATCAAATACAAAGATTCTTAACTAGTCCCATTAGCTTATCTTCCTATTATCTTTAGTACAATCTTCCACGACACAAGATTTACATAATTCGAATAACGAGATCTGTATACTTCAGTCGCGTAAATTCATTAGACTCAACGCGTTATCGCTTCGATTATTTATCCTGTCTTAGTAAAATGTTTCAGTGTATTGTACTATTATCATAGCATTACACTGTTTCAAAACAGAGCTATATTTCTATAGCTAATTAATGAAAGAATCAAATACAAAGATTCTTAACTAGTCCCATTAGCTTATACTCGTCCCTATTATCTTCAGTACAATCTTCCACGACACAAGATTCACATAATTCGAATAACGAGATCTGTATACTTCAGTCGCATAAATTCATTAGACTCAACGCGTTATCGCTTTGATTATTTATCCTGTCTTAGTAAAATGTTTCAGTGTATTGTACTATTATCATAGCATTACACTGTTTCAAAACAGAGCTATATTTCTATAGCTAATTAATAAAAGAA